CATTTTCTTTCCAAATTTCGGTTTTTCACGAAACCTGACCGCATCAGGTACATTTTCAATGCGCTAAGAAAAATACAAAAAAATATAAAATGAAAAAACATTTCCTTGATCTGCGCTGTTCCATGTTCGATAACTAACTGAATCTTCTGTCAAGAAATTTCAAATTTTCGCCAGACATTTTTCATACTCTTATTTACAAATTTACAAAAAACTGTTGAAATATTCTCAAAATTTTAACGGCTACTTCGATTTGCCACATCAAAGTTAACGTCCAATCTTTTCTCCGAACAGGTTAATAATGGTGTTTACGCGCAATCAATCACAGTGCTAATAAGTGATTGTTCCTCACTTATATGTATCCATTACATATTATAAAACCCTCATTTCATATCAGTGAATCTCTCACTGATAAGCACTGTGTTTTATTGCGCGTAAAGAGAGTATTTTTTTTAATTAAATCATTTTATTATAGTCTTGGCTACAAATCCAAGTTCATGGCCTGGTGAAAAGGGTAAACCCGTGAATATTCCGAAAGAAGAAGAATCTCTTAAAAATGAGAAATTTAAATTAAATCAATTTAATCTGTTGGCCAGTGATAGAATTGCGTTAAACAGATCTTTGCCTGATGTTAGAATGGATTCGTAAGTAGACTAATTAATTGCATTGTTTGATGAATAAATGAATATTTTTATCTTTACTTTGATCATAATTTAGATGCAAGAAGAAACGTTATCCAAGTGAATTACCTACAACCAGCATTGTCATTGTTTTCCATAATGAAGCCTGGTCAACTTTATTACGAACTGTTCATAGTATTATCCGAACCTCACCAAGGACTCTTCTTGAGGAGATTATTCTTGTTGATGATGCTAGTGATGGAGGTGAGCTTATGATTAATCTCTCTTTTCTTCTTATTGAAATAGCTTTAACTTTATTATTTCATTCATTTCCTGTTTATCATCTCAAACTTGATTTCAACTTTTCTAGTTGATTAAATTAACCCTTGTTAATAATGTAGTGATAATGTAATGCATCTAATCATTTCTCAACATTTCAACTTTGAGATTGATAGCACCAAGCTGAGCCAATTTTATGCTCTACACTCTCCATTTAATTTTGGCCTCAACTCCTAAACAATATGGTAGAACGATATATCAAACATTTTCTGTTTTCTTTTACGTTTATCAGAACATTTAGGTAAAAAATTAGAAGATTATGTGGTTACTTTGCCGGTCCCTGTTCATGTTTTACGAACAGGGAACAGATCAGGATTGATTCGAGCTCGTCTTTTAGGAGCATCACATGTTAAAGGTCAAGTAATTACCTTTCTAGATGCTCATTGTGAATGCTCAAAAGGATGGTTGGAACCTTTATTAGCAAGAATAAGAGAAGATAGGTAAAGATAATTTCATTTGTTTTATTTAATAATAATAATCATAATTACATATGAAACTAATGCTTGTCTTTTTTGTGTAAACTAAATATTTTTACAGAACTCGTGTTGTTTGTCCAATTATTGATGTGATAAGTGATGATAATTTTGAATATATCCCAGCATCTGATATGACTTGGGGAGGATTCAATTGGAGACTTAATTTTAGATGGTATCGAGTTCCTCAACGAGAAATTGATCGTCGTAATGGTGATAGAAGTGAACCCGTTAGGTCAGTATTGACTAATGTGGATAAATTTTTATCCTTTATTCATTAGTATTGTGGTCACGATTAATGTTATTAGTTAATTAAATTAAAAGTAAAATAATTATTTGTACTTTACAGAACACCTACTATGGCTGGAGGATTATTCTCTATTGATCGTGATTACTTTGAATATCTTGGTAAATACGATGAAGGAATGGAAATCTGGGGAGGAGAAAATCTTGAATTAAGTTTCAGGGTGAGATATTAATTTACGCTAAACTATCCAACAACAAATAATTAACGTATTTTTGTTAATGTTTCTTTCTCTTTTCATGATGGATAATTTCAATTATGTTTTGTGATAAATGAATTATTTCTATGCATTTACCTGCCTTGAATGAAACGAACTGACATGTTTTTAATCACTTCAACACATCAACTAACTATCATCATTGACTTATGCTCATTCAGATCTGGATGTGTGGAGGAACACTTGAGATAGCAACTTGTTCTCATGTTGGTCATGTTTTCCGTAAATCTACGCCTTACACTTTCCCTGGCGGTACAACAAAGATAGTTAATCATAACAACGCTCGTTTAGCTGATGTTTGGCTGGATGAATGGAAAGACTTTTATTATGCCATTAATCCAGCAGCTAAGAAGGTTAATAAAGGTGATACAAAAGGACGAAAAGAGTTACGAGAAAAATTGAAGTGCAAAAGTTTCCGTTGGTATCTTGAAAATGTTTACCCTGAATCTCAAATGCCATTGGATTACTATTCATTGGGTGAGATTCGTAATGTTGCCATAAATCATTGTCTTGATACATTTGGACGTAAAAGTGGTGAAAATGCTGCAATGAGCCAGTGCCATGGAATGGGTGGTAATCAAGTGTTTGCTTATACAAAACGTAAACAAATCATGTCAGACGATAATTGTTTAGATGCTTCCAGTAAAAAAGAGCCTGTTAAATTGATTCGATGTCATGGGTTAGGAGGCAATCAAATGTGGGAATATCATACGAAAGAGCAAACAATTGTTCATGTAAACACAGGACTTTGTTTAGACAAATCTGATTCTACTCTTGATGCAATTCATCCAACATTACAAGAATGTGATAACAGTGAATCGCAACAATGGATTCTAGTTTCAAACTTTAAATGGCAAACACCTGAACATAATAAAACACACACTGATAATGATGATTCAAAGATTGCTGTTTAATGGCAACCTGACCAAAGGAATTGCAAGAAATACATTCATTATGGCTGACAATATGGATTGTTCCTATACTTTCATAACTAATTACTGTCCTTGTATTTGAATATACCAAAGGAAAGTTAACTTCTTGCTCATCAGTCAATACAATTGATGTCATTGTATGTATGATATAATATTAACAATTTATTTTGTCAAAGTAATTCGTGATCATGATTGGGACTGGATCAATGATTATAAAAACTGCCTGCGATTTATTGAAAATTATTTTCCTTTTTACTGAAGAGTTTGTCCATTCACTATGATTCTTTCATCTGTAAGTTGATTTTAGTTAATGATATTCTTAATCATATTTACAATTAACTCAATTGTGCCTTTTGTGGATGCAAAAATTAATGCAATTTATACTTTCAGTATTATGAAAGAACAAAGTTCTTGCATTGAAAGGATTGTTAAATGGATTGTCATTGAATTTATATATTAATTGGTCATGTAAAAAGATTTTTTGTTAACAATTGTTCTATTCCTTATTATAAATAAATTGTACATCTTATTTACAGTCTGCATATGTTCAAAATTAATATTATACTGAGTTACATTGGTATCTGAAATAAGGGTTTTTATTAAAACGATACAATTGTCAAATTTATTCACAAATCGACACAAACGGGCAGAAACGGGTAGAAATTGATTTCTTTCAGATTTAAAATCTGTTAGTTTTTAGGGAAATAGGAACTGAGTCCATTTGCGATTTTCAAAAATTTCTTTCGTCGATAGTTTTCGAGAAAATCGAGGTCAAATTTGAACTTAGATCGCATTTTGTATAATTATGGAAGCAGACGTTTCATTCAACTCATTTCCTTGATGTGACTTTTGATGGGTAATGAGAAAATGCACTTATTTTGAGAAATAAAAAGTCATAAGTTTCAGCGCTCTAATTCGTACGGTCACAGAGAGCGGTCGACTGCAAATCGCACTAATCTGTTTTATTTCACACAAAAAATTTCATTTCTCAATTTAAATGATGATGAAGTATCTAAAGAGGTCAAAAACTGTTGATTGCCTTACTGTGGGTTAGACTGACAAAGACGTGGTCTTAATGCCATTGAACATTTTTTTCTCAAAATCTTCATTTTCGCTAATTCTTAGGTGTTTTTTACCATTTTTTAAAAAATAAACTTCGATTTTTGGGTTAACTAAATGATGATGGGAATAGAAATATCAAAGTATCACTAAATGTCTCATAAAAAACACCTTTGAGGTTGGTCTTAATGCTATTGAACAGAGCGAATTACATATTTATTACAATTGTCGGTTTCCAATTGATGTTGATAACCTTCCAAATGGTTATGACAAGTCACTAAATTATCATCTTCTCATCAGATGATAATCATCATTTTTTATGGCTAACATTATATTTTATTTCACCTTTCAATGGCTCATAACTTGATACCATTTTTTTATAACCAATTCAGTGATGCTTACAATTTGTAAGATGAAAATTTTGAGCAACACAAAAAAAACAATGAAACTTTTGATGGTTTTGAGATGTTCAATGATTGTCAAATGATGATAATGATGATTATCAGCAATTTCAAAATTATCATCTTTTCTCAAATGTTTATTTCCTGCTTCTGATTTAACCGTTTCTCTTGTCTCCATCTTAATATGTGAATTCATTAAATTCATGTTCATCATTCATTGGCCAAACATTTTACCTGACAATTGAACAAAGTTATCTCTTTTATATCATCATCTTCCCAGGCAATTGATATTAAACCATGAATCTTTTTTTAATCAACATCATTATCTTATCAACTTTAATCGTCCTCTTAATTCATTTTTATTTATATCTCTATCTGATTCTGGGATAAACAATCAAATGTTGCCATTTCATTTCAATCTTGAAATTAATTTTGAAAAAAAAGGATTCAGTTATTAATAACTCATTCAAATTAAAGTCAATAATAGCTTTGTTTTTGTCAACAATTAAGCTTTTGACTGTCTTTAGGATTGAAAATGCAATTGTTTTCACTTTTCACTTCAGCTGATCAACTTCAATTGATATCTTGACCCAATTAATGAGTGAAAGTTATTTAAATTTTTCACACTTAACTGAACGTTTTGTTGTTAATCAAACACTCGTCACTATTGATTGAACCTTAAATTATCACAATCATTATTATCCATCCTTAACCATAATTGGAATGCTAAGAATCACTTATTATCATAATTGCCAAAACATCATCACAATGTTGACCAGCTCTTGCGTTGTTTTTCATCAAATTTCAAGTCACAGTTTGATTGACAAATGAAACTCAGCAATTGGGTTAATTGAATTTAGTGAAAGTTGATTTGATTGTTTTCCCTTTTTTATTTGACCAGTTTTCAGATGATTAAATTAAGGTTCACCAGTTGTTTTCATGCTATATTGATTACATGGAAAAAAGCAGTTCAATTGAAACAACAATCCTAAAACAAACCAAGTTAACCCAAAAATAACCCAAAAGATAATGTAAATCCTAATCTAATGGTTATAATGAGATCATTCAAATGAATCAATATCATTTACTTGATAAATTGATTGCTATATAATAATCAACAAGCTTATTTGATTGTAACATTTTATCCTTAAAAGTATCGGAAAAACCTTTACATTCCTAATCTCATAGCTAATCATTTCACTGCCAATGAGTTTACCTGTTGATTACCTCATGTTGCAAGGTAAATTGCATTTTGATACATTTCAATGTTAACCGGATTTCCTTTAATTTCATCCAATATCAAAGCTTCTGTTTATACTTTGTGTAAATATTGAATCAGTTTAACAATCAATTACATTGTCTTTTCACGCAAAATTGAAACTTTCCTTTCGTCTCATCATTTAATAACCTGGACTTGTTCCTGGAAGTGACAATTCAATAATAAAACATTTCCTAAATTAGTCCAAATTAACAAAGTCAACATTGAAAAAGGTTATTGACTGAGGAAATTACCTTTAAATTGATTCATTGTTGCTAATTGTTGCTATTGATTATCAGAAAATAGCGAAACAAATGGACAAATTGACAACAAAATATCCAATTGTATTACGATAAAGGAGTTAGTCGCAGACATGAGCTTCAACTCGTTGGAGTTACATTAACATTGCTGTTCAAATCAACTATCACCTCAGGTCGGACAAGAGGACTTATCTGACCAAGTAACTAGCGTACTTATTTTGATAATAAACTGAATTAGCCATTGACATGAACAAACATTGAAAATTGAAACATTACAAGATGCTTTTAAGCTCGTTCAGTGTACATTGTTAACAACCGAATCTAGACATAAATTGTAAACTTAATTATCATGTTGATTGATTGTCTTTGCCAAACATTTCACATTGAAACGTCTTTTCGCTTTATTTAATTTGATGAGAATGGTTTCTCAGAGAACCCTTATACTGAATCAATTTAGTAATTTATTTTTCCCTTATTTTATCTTCTTTTTACTGCCAACAGAATCAATTGATGTGCATTAATTATATTAATATTAATTATATCCATTCTCGATGACTCTACAAACAAGTTAAAGCCTTTCCTGTCATCAAACATTGTACAGAATGTTAATACGAAATCGTTTATTTAGATGGAGTACTTACCGGTTAATAATATTGTCATCTTTTATCTGGATTCTGGTTGAGTTCAGTGTACTACAGGGTGTAACTAAAGTTCATGTAAGAGGCAAAAAAATATTTCTCCTGCGTAGAAACACATTTCAATTCGATTTGATTCTCAGTTGAGATACTGATTTCATCTCTTGAGCCAACCTACCAACACGAACTTTAGTTGCACCCTGTACATGAACTGTTTAGGTAGTTCTGGTATTAATTGTGTTGGTGGTTGGCAAAATTATTTCAATTATCATCTTCTAATGCAAATAATCCTAACAATGTGAATTTTAATTACAATGGATTAGAGGAATCAATTGAAAATGATTTATCAAATTTAAATAGTGATAATTTAATTTTAAATGAAACGCCAATTCCCTTCTTTTACCTTTTAAATCAAATCAACTTAAAAAGCGGAGATCGCCAGGTAAGTTGTTATCGAGAAGATTCAATGTTCAACAAAAAAAAACTGTTTTATTGTATTTGCGTGAAAATTGCAGATCAAATGAAGAGTTTGATTGCAATGAAAAATGTTTAATTAATTTTTGTTGGTTAGTTATCTATTAATTGCATTGTTTGATGAATAAATGAATATTTTTATCTTTTCTTTGATCATAATTTAGATGCAAGAAGAAACGTTATCCAAGTGAATTACCTACAACCAGCATTGTCATTGTTTTTCATAATGAAGCTTGGTCAACTTTATTACGAACTGTTCATAGTATTATCCAAACCTCACCAAGGACTCTTCTTGAGGAGATTATTCTTGTTGATGATGCTAGTGAATGAGGTAAGAATTTCTGATGTTTAATACTTCTTCTCATTGTAGTTACTATTGTTTCACTTTCTTCCTGTATTTCTTGAGAGAAAATTAATTCAGTTCAGTATAAATCTTATGAAAGTCAAATTGACATTTCATGTAATCCTTTTGGTTAATCTTCATTTAATAACTAAAGGATTCTGAATTGGACAATCAATTTAAATTAATGTTATAGTATCTTGAGCCCATGAATCTTGTTAATGACCACTTTTACCTGTCTTACAGTAGCTTATAAATTGCAATATATTTCACTTTCCAATTAAATTAATCCATTTCATTTTATTGTTGTCATCTATAGATTATTTAGGTAAAAAATTAGAAGATTATGTGGTTAACTTGCCGGTCCCTGTTCATGTTTTACGAACGGGGAACAGATCAGGATTGATTCGAGCTCGTCTTTTAGGAGCATCACATGTTAAAGGTCAAGTAATTACCTTTCTAGATGCTCATAGTGAATGCTCAAAAGGATGGTTGGAACCTTTATTAGCAAGAACAAGAGAAGATAGGTAAAGATAATATCTATTGTTTTATTTAATTATAATCATAATTACATATGAAACTAATTATTTTTGTCTTTTTGTGTAAACTAAATATTTTTACAGAACTCGAGTTGTTTGTCCAATTATTGATGTGATAAGTGATGATAATTTTGAATATATCCCAGCATCAGATATGACTTGAGGAGGATTCAATTGGAGACTCATTGGAAATTGTAACTTGCTCTCATGTTGGCCAAGTTTTTCGCAAATCAACGTCTCACACTTTTCCTGGTGTAACTTCCAACAAACTTACCAATAGTTAACCGTAATAACGCTCGTTTAGCTGATGTTTGGCTGGATGAATGGAAAGACTTTTATTATGCCATTAATCCAGCAGCTAAGAAGGTTAATAAAGGTGATACAAAAGGACGAAAAGAGTTACGAGAAAAATTGAAGTGCAAAAGTTTCCGTTGGTATCTTGAAAATGTTTACCCTGAATCTCAAATGCCATTGGATTACTATTCATTGGGTGAGATTCGTAATGTTGCCATAAATCATTGTCTTGATACATTTGGACGTAAAAGAGGTGCAAATGCTGTAATGAGCCAGTGCCATGGACATATGCATATGGATATTTTTCACCTGAATGCATCTATTGTAACAAAATGTAGCCAAATAGACATAAAAACAAGTACTTTCCAATGAATTCCCACCCAGTCAATCCAAGGCGCAAGCACACTAGAAAGAGCGTAAAGCCAGTGCATAGAGTTAACACGCAGAGTCGTTTACCTCTTTGCGTTCAACGCGATAATTTTTATTTAAGTAAAAGTATCAGTGGCTGTCCATAAATTGTATTTGACTTGTTAAGTCAGCCACTAGCTCAGTGGTCAAAGAATTGGTCAATTAGATTGGCAATCGAGAATGTGAAAGGGCGAGTCTGGATTGGCGAATCTTTTTGTAACTAGAAACTTGAATTCGACTGAGCGTTTAACGCACATAAATACCATTAAACGAAAAATCTGCACAATATCTGACCCTTGTCTTCTGTGCTCGTGTCTCTGGCACGCCTGGGCCGACTTGGCATAAATTGTAATTTTTTAATTTGCTTCATTGCCACTTGTAAGATGCAAACATTTAAATTGAATTTATGAGATTCACAATATCGATCCATTGATCTTTAAGTGATGGAGTTAAATTTGCATCCATCTCAATAGATAGATAAATACAAAAAACTATGTTATTAAAATGCTCAAATCTGTCCATCTTGAGATTTTTGCATAACATTGATTTGCTACTTTTTCATTGTTCATGTTTTCAGTCTGGATTATTTGTAGTTATGCTATTTGTGATAGAATTTTCCATTTAATATAACCAATTCAATTGAAATAACAAGTTGATTTGAGATGATTTTGATAGAAAGGCATCTGAATTAAAAGACTTCAAAAACAATTTACAAAGGACAATCAATGGAATGAAATGACGTTAAATGAAAATGTGTTTTTCAAATAAAATGTGAATAAAATCATATATATAGTCGACAATTTACTCGAAATTAATCAATAAGTTAAGACTTCCAAAAGCAATTTACTTCTATTTGTCTTGAGTTTAATACATCAAACGAAAAAATGAAACCATTCGGTGTATCAGCTTTTTGCTTATTGCTTATTGCATCAACCGTGACCTGTGATGAACAACCCGAACTTTCTTTAAACGGTAAAGTTCACGGCCGATTCTTCTTCAACCCATTCAACACAGCCTCACAAGCCGTCAAAGCTATTGGTGCTCAAGTATCTGGTGGCTTAGGTTCAGCAGCCAACTCTGTTGCTAATGCTGCATCAAGTGGAATCAAAACTATTGGTTCCCTTGAATCAGCAGCCATCAAGGGTGCCGGTAAACTCGCCTCAACTGGAGCTTCAATGGGTGCCAGCGGTGTTTCAAGCTTTGGTAATGCAGTAGGTTCTGGTATCAAAGGAGCTGGTAAAATCGCTTCAACTGGTTCCCAAATCGGTTCATCTCTTGCTCAAAGTGGAGGTAGAATCGGAGCCAATGTAGCTGGTACTATGGGTAACCTTGCTGCAACCGGAGCTAACATGTTCGGAGGCGCTGCCAATGCCGGTGGTCAAATTGCTAGCTCAATCCTCAATGGACTTGGTTTAGGTGCTTTTAGTGGTCTTGCTACTTCTGGTGCAAACTTGGTTTCTGGTTTCGCTTCAGGAGCTGGTTCTTTGGCTAGCAATACTTTCAATGGATTCGGTAATATTGCTAATGAAGGAGGAAAGGCTGCTGGTACTGTTATCAATGGTACTGGAAACTTTTTCGCATCAGGATTGGAAGATGTTGCTGGTGCTGCTCAGACTGGATTTGGCTTAGGAGCCACCGTAATCAATGGATCTGGAACTGTTGCTCAAGCTATTGGAGATGGTTTGGCCAATGTTGCTGGCTTCAAGGCTGACTTTATTGCCAACCAAACTAAACTTGTCGGTAATGGATTCAACACCGCCGGTAATATTTTCAACAGTAGTGCTGCTGATGTCTTCGGTGACATTGGTGATGTCTTTGGTGATATCTTCGGTAGGACTCAAAATAAGCAATAATAATTTACAGCAATAAACAATACACGTTAATTGTTGAATGATGTAAAATAGTGTTAACAGTAAATTCAAATAAACAATGTTTCATTTGAACACGGTTACTTTCATTTATTACAAGGTGTATGAAAGGGTGTAACGCGTAAGACGTGAAAATGATCTTACTTTGATAAGAATGAAGATGAAGATGACAATGATAAGATTACGACAGAAAGAGACGAAGACACAAAATGTCTATTCAATATAATTATTTATAATAAGTTGATTTTAGTTGATGATATTCTTAATCATATTCACAATTAACTCAATTGTGCCTTTTGTAGATGCAAAATTAACCAATTTATAATTTGAGCATTATGAAAGAACAAAGTTCTTGAAAGGATCTGTTGAATGTTGAATCTAATATTAGATTGATCTCAATTTATGATCCTAAGAGTTTATTAAAAATGTTTTCAATCTTAATTGTTCATTATTACTTAATCTCAATAAAGATTAATTAGTCAACTTATCTGTATAACTGGTAACCTCTTAGGGTTCAACTGAGTTTAGGCGATTGAAAACTGTGAAAATTTAGAAGTAATCAAAAAAGTTACGATCGACGGAAGACGTGAGCGTTTGTAGTTAAATTGAGTAGGCAAAGAGGCAAAACTGGTTTCCGTTTAAAATTTTTGGTCTTGTAGGAAGATTAAGTTTAATTGTAGTTAACTAAGTATATTGCGAGGTTAGTTAAATTATCGTTGAATGCGCACATGAAAGTCTAATCCAAACAACACCATAAATGGTGTTGCCGCATTGAGAGGAAGATTTTTAACTGGCACAAACTCACAAAAAAACACTGAAGGTTTTTTGCTTTTCTCCTCTTCATCATTCAGTATAACATCTTTCATTGGGTGTTGTCATCTTGCCTTCTCTTTTCTATTTCTTCTCTTTCTGAGTCTATCTTGGATAAACCATCTTTTTTATCATTAACATCATATTACAACAGCCATATTTTCACCAAAAAATTCATCTGTTCATTAAATTTGACAATATTTTTCGTCATCTCTTCACATAAACAACAAGAGTAGTTCATTGACAACACTTGTTCAACTGTTTTCACCTAACCATGTCTTCCCCAAGCACAATGTTTTGTAGCCGGTGTGGCTCTGGATTCGAGGAGAATGAAAAAATTGTCAACTCTGGTAAGTTAATAAATTTACAATTGTGACAATAAATTGACCTGTGACAATGAGTGTTGGTTATAACTCCATCGGATACTTTTTGGATTGAGTTTACCTTCTATTCATCTCCACATATGATTTCACTGTGTATACTTTCTATATTTACATTGATCTCAAAACTGGTGTTTACACATTGTTTACCTTTTTTATTGTTTCTGGTGACCAATTAATTTTATTTTCTGAATTTCTTGTCCATCATAGGAGGTGAAGTTTGGCATCAGTCATGTTTTGTGTGTGCCCAATGCTTCCGCCCATTCAGTAAAGATGCCATCTTTTATGAATTTGAAGGTCGAAAATACTGTGAACATGATTTTCATGTTCTCTATGCTCCTTGTTGTGGTAAATGTGGACATTTTATCATTGGTAAGATTTCTATTATCATTTATTTGTTGTTGGTGCTTATTAAAAATTCATTTTTTCTTATTAAGGACGAGTTATCAAAGCCTTGAATAATAATTGGCATCCAGATTGTTTCAACTGTCAAATATGTCAGATTCCATTAGCTGACCAAGGTTTCATCAAAAATGCTGGTAAGGTTTTCACTCAAACTCTTGCTCTTGTTTGTTTATTAATTTATTTATTTTATCTATTTCAGGCCGTGCTTTGTGCCATGAATGTAATGCCAGGGAAAAGGCTGCAGCTATCGGAAAATATATATGCCATAAATGTCATGCAATAATTGATGAAGGAGCTCCTCTCAAGTATAAGGTTTGTTTTCATGAACCATGATGTTTACATTTAAATGATATCAGATTAGGAAGCTGTTTCAATTTGTGATACTCGTTGTCTCCTTAATCAACATTACATTTTGACCATCACCGCCAACCATGTTTATATTACAAATATAAAGAAGCTTGGCTGGTTTTGATTGTTCATTCGTTTTGGCAAGATGTCATTGCCACCTACGTAATTCCGTCCTCTCTTAAGGTTAAAAATATAAACTGAATTTGAATTCTTTTTGGTTCGTTAATGTGAGGCGGAAAGTAATTTAAATCATATTAAATGATCCATTGGATTGACTAGAGAACTAATAGTGTAAAAGGAGAAGTAGTTTTACCTAAATTTGGAAATCTCTCTATGTTTGAATTTTTATAATATTTCAAGATAATATCCAAGATATTAGACAAAATTTTAATTATTTCCTTTCTTTTTCTTCACAGAGTGAACCTTATCATCCGTATCATTTCAATTGTTACTCTTGTGGTGTTGAACTTGACTCAAACGCACGTGAAGTGAAAGGTGAATTATATTGTTTAAGATGTCACGATAAAATGGGTATACCTATTTGTGGATCTTGTCATCGGCCAATCGAAGAGAGGATTGTTACAGCATTGGGGAAAAATTGGCATGTTGAACATTTCGTTTGTGCAAAATGTGAAAAACCCTTCCTTGGTCATAGACATTATGAGAAAAAGGTAAATTTTGCTCAACTTTTAAAGTGTTATTTAATTTTATTCATGACTTTTTTTTCTTATTCATTAGGGACTAGCATACTGCGAAACTCATTATCATCAATTATTTGGCAATTTATGTTACGTCTGCAATCATGTAATTAGTGGTGATGTTTTTACAGCTTTAAATAAGGCTTGGTGCGTTGATCATTTTAGCTGCTCATTTTGTGATATGAAATTAACACAAAAAAGCAAATTCTATGATGTCGATCTTAAACCCTGTTGTAAACGATGCTTTGAAAAGTTCCCCTCTGAATTGAGGAAAAGATTGAAGAAACATTACTCCGAAAAGGCTACTGGCAATAAAAGCATTCTGTGAAATCTCTCCACAACATTTTGTCGTCAATTCACGAACTGCCTTTTTATGTGATCCAAACTTTATCCCGTTATGAGTCCATCCAAAAATTTATTAACTGGCAACTTAAGATGACCTGGAATTCAATTATTATGATAGAATGATGAAAAATTCATGCATTTATTATTTGCATTTTGAGAAAATGTATGAGTTCTACATATTCTTGCCTTTCTATTAGTGCCAATAGTAATTTATCTGGGATGAATTACTGTGGAAATTTATGCAGCTAATTAAAATTACAAAAGTGAAGCTATCGAATTGGAATTTCGTTTATTTTATAATTTAATGTTCATCAAAGCTTCTCATCGACAAGCCTTAACTTCCGGATATTTTATCCAGTCTTCTCCATCATATTTGATTTTAAATGAGCGTTTATTGACTACAATACACATGTTACATGTATAATTCAAACAATTATACACTCATCAAAAGCAATATAAAACAAATTATTTTAATCTATTTCACCTAATTTTACCTCTCGGTCAACTGAATATTTTTGCAATCAACTGCAATCAAATAAAGCTTAATTGATGAAAAATCAAGTTTTTATCGTGTAGATGACAGTTTATATTTAAAAGATAATATTCGGATAAATTTGATTTGATTTTCTTTCAAATACACTCAAGGTTATAACTTTATTTAAAAAATCAACACAGATTATAACCAGGGAAGAAACTAGAGCAAAAGTTAGGTTTCTGGAGCAAATCCAAGCAACTTTTCTCACCTAGTTATGCCAACAAATAATAATAAATCTCATGTCTCTTGTAAGACAAAAAATCAGTAAAGTAAAAAGATAAATTAATTTTTATGAAATCAATCAAAATTTATTGATAAGGCGGTTTGGACTGAAAACGGCTGAACTCATTACAGTTAAAGCACATAAGGTAAAGTCATAAGAACTAAAATTGAAAATAGCAAATTTAGTCAAATTTTGTTACATCGAAGCGATCACTTACGTTAGTAATTAAAAGTTTATGTTTTCATATTCAGGACAATTTAATCTATTTGTCTGAATCAGTTGAACTCAGATATCTCGAAGCTACATTCGCCCTCGTCTTTAAATCTCACAAATTTTCGCGGCATTGGTTTAATCTATTCTTAGCCTGATTTTTGTTACTTTAATTTAATTTTTATGGGGTTTGTTATAATCTGATATCAAATCCAATGTTATAGTAAATTGTTTTCGGGATAAAAATATTGATTTTTGGCAGCTCATACATTTACCTTATCATCTCACCAATACATTGATGCACCACTTGAGATAAGTTTGAGTGGTAATCGTTTAACATGAGAAAACATTGAACCAGGATCATTTGATAATAATCTGACTAGACCGGTAACAATCTACCTCAATTCAAATAAATTGACAACCTTCGAAACACTTCTTCGACGACCCAATTTTATTGTTCAAGTTGAATCTAATTCATTCATCTGTGACTGTTGGTTATTCAATCACAAAGAAGACATTATGTATCACCTAAAGGAGAACAAATTTGACAACTAAATTAAATCGTGGTTTACTTTAGTGATATAATTTATTTACTAGAGTAAAAAATACTTTGATCTTGTAACAATTTTCAATAATTTTATGATCATGCAATGAAAATGAATGCAATTTTTGTGTTTGGAGCAACTTTTGAAGACACTTTGTACAATTTAAACTAAAACAAAATACTCTAATTCACTCTCACATGCAATAAGACTGCTGAGTCTTCGACAATAAATGCCATTTGAGATTATTAGAAAACAAAAAATACAATGAAATAGAGGTTGAAAGGAAAAGACACCAAAAAGATGATGATGCTTGATAATGAGCTTGGTGATGGGGTCATGAAGGTGAAGATGATTAAATAAACGACTGATGAAATGCTTGTTAGATACTTTCATAATCCCATTGATAAAATATCTCTTTTCAAATGTACAATTTATGAAATTATTTGTGACTTTTTGTCTTAGATAACACCAAGACTTCGATTAGATGATGCTGTTGGGGTTATTTCAATAACTGCATTGGTCAACTTTTGATAAGACGCATAATCTTTGACCGAACGTTGATTAGAATAATTGGGATTCTGATGATATTGATATTTATGCCTATGGTTAGGCTGTTCATATTGACATCGACTATACGATCCACATTCATTGGCATTGGAATAATGGTTTTGTTGATGAGCAGGAGAAATGGCTGATGATGAAGATGAAGATGAAAGTCGCAAAGGTCGAACTTTGGATTGAAATTTTGGTGTTGGCGGTTGAAGATGTTTAACATGATGATGATAGACAGAAGGTTGATAAAGGTGCCCTGAAATTGGGAATTTAAGCGAATGATCAGTCTTAGATAGAGTGTCAGTTGGAAATAGATGACTTTTACCATCAAAGCCATCATTTAAACCAGGAACATCAATTCTGGAGGCATTTTTGGTTCCTCCACCTCCAATTCTAGCCCTTTCCGATCCTCTCCTGCCAATTCCAATCCTTAATCCCAAAATTCCTTCTCTTCTTCTTCCCCTGTTTTCGTACAAGAAAAAGGTGAAAAATATTACCAGGACTATACAGCCAATGATGGCTATAACGATTATTAATAGAGTACAGTAATTGATCCCAGGTAATCCCAAGTCTCGCAGTTGATTCATTTCAGTTGATGTTACCACCGTCAAATAGCTTGCACGATAAGCATATCCTTTATAGTTAACCACGGAACACAAGTATTTACCAGAATCACTTCGATCAACTGAATCAATTATCAACCTATTATAATAGATTCCATCTCGTTTGTGTAAAATTGGCGATGATTTCAAAGATCTGAAATATTCGCCATCAATCTCAATCAGAATACCTTCATCTGGTTCGTCTTCAAGTTCCTCTGGTGAAAGCTCTTTTAACCACTGAAATAGACAAATAAAGCAAATTAGAAATGATCAATTGGCAAAACACAATTGAGATCAATATTGCATTTAAAATCTTACCCTAACTAATGGTTCTAGTTTACTTTTGAACTGGCAATCTAAGAAAGTGTGTTGACCCAATAGAACTGTACTATTTTCAGGGTTGATTCCGATAATTTCTGGCCGATTCACTTTATCTGTATAATGATGGAATGAAAGAAAAAGGTTGTATTAGTCATTTGAAATGTGTCTAAAGCAATTGATTACTTAATCAGCTGCTATGAAAAGTTGAAAAGGTTGAAACAAAAATGAATTGCAAGGAAAATAAAAGTTGGTAAGTTATCAGTTGAATCGTTATCACTATTCTAAAGCAATTCAACTCAATTCGTCAAGTGGGCCGACGCTACATCAAAGATCGGAATGAAGAGTATCTATAATGAGTTTTGAGGTAACTTGATTGGAATTGGTGATTTCTTCATAAGTGTCTAAGATTGATGGCAAGATAGTATTTGACTATGAAAATTTAACTAATAGATCTTAAGTAAGAAAGGAGGAAAAGCAAGATAATTCAAATCAACAAAACTGTCTAATTAGAAGATTAAAGCTGCAAAATAATGCTCAATATGTCAATACCGTCTTGTCAGGTAAGTTATATTCATCTATAAAGTAGAGCAAAAAAAATATGAAAAAATCTAGTTCCAGTCAAACACAATTTGTACCTGATATACTCTTATTGAAATGTCAAATAAAATCCCTTTTCTAGATTACCGAATGAAATGCTAAAACCTATTCTAATCTCTTCAATGATTATTCAGTAGCATAACAAGCTTAACAATATTGACTGGAAAATTTCAATCAAAATGGTCTAAACTTAGACTAAATAAATCATGTATGAGTATCAGTACCTGAAACTATTTGCTATTTTAATTTTAAAGACGTTTATAATACAATGTGGACTGAAAAGAACTAACCTGAAATAGTAACACTGAACGTTGTATTTATTTGACCTTTAACATTGGAGGCAACACACATGTAATATCCTGAATCTTCAATACGACTTTCGGGAATGGTGAAAATACCATTGAATCTGGTAGTTCCGGGAGGTAATCGAGTTGGACTAATGGGTGATCCATTTTTATACCAAAGTATTTCTGGTCTGGGTTTACCGGCAACATTACACCGTAATCTCAATGGTTTACCAGAATTTAGTTTGATTACTTTGGTTTTTGGAGGAACTAGATCTACAAAGTATGGACCAAGTAAGGTATCTTCAACATAATTGTATTGAGACAGGGAAGATGATGAACCCAAATCTTCTGGGTAGTCATTGGACAAAAGAAGTCGGTTAACATTGTCAAATTTAAATCCACCCGATTCACCGAGATCTTCTTGGCGTAAAATACTGAGGGTAATATTGGCATAGACAGCACCAAATCCGTTGGCTGCTTTACAAGTGTAAACACCAGAATCTTCCAATTGAGCATATTCAATTCTCAGATAACCATTGAGGGTAACAAAATACCTGTGGATATGCTCAACAGGCATATCGTTTCTCATCCATTCAACAAATAGCCTCTTGGGGTCAGCATAAACAGGACATTGAAGTTGAACTTTAGATCCAACCAAATAAATTACTGGATTGGTTTTGGTTTTGGGTAATGCTAATCTCGGTGGAGCTAGAGTAATCAAAAATAAACAAGAATAATGTTTGAAATGATTAGAAATAATTTACACCAGAAAATGGTCATTTAATATTTTTAGGTTAAACTGGGTAAACACACACACACACACAGAAACAAAGTGGATGGACTTACCTTTACTATAACCGAGGACATTTACAATTGAATGTATAAATATGATGAATATAAAAAGTATTAAAAGAGGTATATTCATGATGTGATTGAAATTGAGATCTTGTGAATGATGATTATGGTTAAAGATGAAAATGGGAAGAAAAAAAGTAACACTATTAGCTGTGTTGGTATGATTAAGAAGTAACGATAATTACGATAAAGTGAACCAATCACTCAGATGATGTTTATATTATCTTGATTCAATTTTGTCGATAGATGTTCATTCAGTTCATAATTAAAATAAATAGTCAACATCTTTATTGAATCAAGAAGATTACCAAGAAGAATGAGATAATTGACACTATAAATCGATTAAAGTAAAATCAAAACATAATTAGTCCTTATAAACAAATGGCTAGATAAATTGAGTGAAACAGTTAAGCACAACAATGAAACAACGTTGAGGTAACTCCGGTGAGTGTTGGTAATAAAGTGTACAGTGAACTTTAAGAGTCAGATTAAGGGGTTAGGATTGAGTTGAAAGTTGCAAATATCCAAATTGATTAGTTTCAAATGATATAAATACAAGTTGAAGTTGCACAGCAGATGAGACCAGAGAGTCAACACACACACAATGTAAAACCAGAGTAAACAGTGGACGGACTTTTCACAAATACACAAGTAGACAGAGAATGTCCCAGACTTGAATCGTTATCTTATCTTGCAACTATTGGATTAACCATCAAACACCATTAAATTAACAATCAAATGGTTAGCCATAAGGTAAATTTAGCGAAGCTTTAACCAGAAGATTTAAAACCATTACCAAGATCGTCTTAACTTTCAACTCTTAACCGTTAGTTAACATCTAATGGTAATAAGAGACAACAACAAAATCTATTACCAATTAGTGTGTGTGGAAAAATTGATTAACAAAACATAAGATGAAGGCACTATGAGGGATTATTTCGCGGTATTTTACTAGATAATAAACAAAAGCCGAAAGCCGTTAGTTATTCTATTTTTTTTCTTTTTTCCTTTTTCTTTTACCGCATATTCCATTCTTTGTTATCAGAAGTTCTTACATTTTCTTGATCAACCAATTTCCCTTGTTATCTATTTTCCTTGTCTCTCTATTTGTTTGTCGCTTCATCTTTTTTTTTCATCTCACTCTCTACAAAAGTGTTTTCATTTAATTGTCAAGACTTGACTATTTGTAGTGCATAAATCTAACTTTACTTTAATCTCTCAACAAACAAAATTGATCAAGGATTTGATTTTTAGGGCCGTATTCACCAACCGAGTTTAAGCTTGATTCGGAGATCAAATTGATTTTAGTTTTGATCTCGGTTGGTGAATACGAGCCTTACAAGGGATGCATGGTCGGTCCTACGACAATCTTGAACTTTTTTTGTGCTTAAAATATTCTAATGGGTCAGATATGACCCTTTGTAAAGCCTGTCGTTTCGGAAATTCTCCGTTCAAAGTTACAGGGGGTCAAATTG